CAAGGTGAACACCAACATCACATCAAAACATACGAGGAAACAATCACATATCAAACCATATCACAAGATTTGAGAACAACACATAATGACAAGACAAAGTGCTCACACACATCCAAATGACCTAAATAACTTGCAAGAAGTATCATCAATCACAAAGCCAAATGAAATGAATTCAAATGAAACAAGAAACATGGTAGGGAAGTAGCACAACATATCATACTCAAATCATGTCAATGATCAAAGAGATAGCACAGGGAAAACAAGTTATACTTCATTCATAAACAAATTCAATCATACCAAACAAAACATGCACACAAAAACCCTAAAGGGGTAGGTATGTAATTATGACATGAACATAAGAAGAAACCACAACCTCAACATGATCATCAAGATAACATCCCCCAAGGACACACAAGAAGATCACACAAGTTGAATTCAAAACAAAACTCAAGAAAGCATTATACATCCAAATCATCATTCACAAAAGGGAAGGACCAATCAAGCAAGCACATAAGTCTCAAATAACTTAAGGAAAAATCAGAAGGTCACTCAATAATGGATTAGAAACAAGTTAATTTTACAATTCAAAACTAAATAAAAATCAAATAAAACCTATAAAAATGATGGAAAATAGTTAGAATACAAATAGAAATCCAAGAAAATCACCATAGGTTAGAGACCATCATAGGATCATGTACTAATTTTCTCACAATTTAAAAGACCTAAAAATAATTTTAAACTAATTAAAATCAAGTAAATAAACCAAAAAAAACCATGAAAAAAAGAAAAACTAGAAATAAAAATCAAAGAAAATCATTATAAGTCAAAGACTATTATATGATCATATGATATTTTTCTCATAATTTTAAAAGGCCTAAAAATAATTTTAAACCAATTATAATTAAACCAAACAAACAAAAATCCAAGAAAAATAGTAAAATGAAAAATAAAAATGCACAAAAATGCAAATTAGAAAGAGAATAATAAAAGGAAATTTTAGAAAATATTTTGGTATTTTTCTGGAAAAAAAATGAATTTTCTATGAATTTCTGAAGATAAAATGAAATTAAAAACAATTTTGAAAAAGAAAATAAAACGGAAAAAAACACAGCGCGTTGGATCTCCCTTCATTAAATGACGTGACTAATCTGATGGACTAGAAGCACGCATCCATGGTGGATCTGAGTCAAACTCATCACATCCAGCCATCAAAAGTCAAAAGTGCATGATTAAAACAAGTGGCATGTTGGACGGTCAGATGATGCCAACTCATCATCTTCAACCTCCAGCCACTTGAAATCTGCAGAGATTTGCAAAAAATTGTGGTTTCTTCAAACCATAATTATTGGAGCTCATAGTGGTTTCATTTTATGCGTCTTTTCAAGACGATCTCAACCATATCATCGCGCCAAATTTCTTTTGCACATAGCTCACTCGATTTGGAAAAAACCAAATGAATTTCAAAACACGGATTTGAAAATTAACAAGATAAACTCAACTATAATTAATATCTAACAATCATAACAACAACAACACATTAAGGACTATATCTTAGCAACAAAGTTGAATTAAAATGGTTGAGAATTGTACCTGTTAAAGCTCAACTTTGAAGCTGTGAAAAGGGAGTCACCAAGCTTGATTCAAGCCACGATTTTTCAAGTTCTTGAGCTGGTTAGCTTCACTGAATGATGATGAAGCTAACTGAGTGGAGATCTTGAGTTGTTAAGGTGTGGAAATGAAAAATGAAATTCAAGCTTAAGAGTTCAAATGAGATATCAGCAGGGTGATTTTGGCTATCAAAGCTTGTGGAAATGGGTGGAATTGAGTCCTTATTTATAGGAGAGAAGTTTGGAATGCTGAGGGAGGGTGAACGATGCAATTTGAGGTAAATTCGTGCACACCTATGTCATGAGCAAAGTGTGACTTGCAACATGCTAAAACTCATCAAACACTTGTGTTTCAATGCTTTAATTAGCTCAGGCGAGTTTATTAATCATGTCCAAATTGATTTCATGCCTTAATTTATTGACTAGAGGTCACATTAACCAAATTCAATTCTGACTTCAAGTGAAAACTCAACTTTGAAATTCAAACTTTGCAACCATGATTCTCGCAATGTACGAGGCTTTATGAGTTGATTCTTCCTGAATTGGATAGAGGGAGATGCAATATTTGTAATGTGAAAAGAAAGTATTGATTTGGCAATCTGAGCTGAGAAATATGAATATTCAAAGTAGCTTGCATAAAAAGGTTCAAATTCACAAAACACTTAGAAAAATTTCAAGTTTTTTTAAGGACCAAAGATGACCTATAATGTTTTGATAAAATCCAAGGTCTTCCATAGGTTTTTGGCACTTTCATGTTGAATCAAAGTGTTAGAGGACAACTCCAAGTTCGATTTAGGAAAAGAGTGGGCTTCAAATAATTAAAATTGACCAAGTTATGACCTTTGGAAGTTGGCAAGAACAACTCTTCAAAACTTAAAATGACCTATAATGTCTTCATACTTTTGATGACTTTCCAAGCATAATTGAAATTTTCCCTACAAAGAGAGTTCATTAGAAAAAGAAACGCCTCAAGATGTTGAAAATTGAAGAAGTTATGCCCATTTGATCATAGCATCCACAGTTTGCTAAATTAGGTCAAACACCTTGAACCAACTTTGAATCTCTTGAACATTCTTTGCAAAATAAGACATGATGAGTCACTTATGATCTTGAAATGATGTTTCCTTGAATCACACTTGATGATGAGGGGCCTTTGGGGCTTGAGAATGCCACAAAGTCAAGAAGAAAACCTTGCTTGAAGTTGAAGAATCATGTTCTTCTTCTTGAGAAACAAACCATGCTACCTTGATCCCTTGTCTAGAACTATGTTATGCAAAAATGAATATGAGAACGAAATGAAATATAAGCCAAGATACAAGAGAAGAGATTGACAAGTTTTGGGGTGTTACACTTATCCAGAAACCACGGATTTGAAACCACTATCTCAATTGGTAAGAACAAAAGGTGCTCTTAAGAAGATCAAACCAACATCGTGTGACAATTCAACAATGTGGTCTCCTTCCTATTTTGAACATGTTGACAAAAAAAAATTCAGTTTCTCCAACTTTAAAATCTAAAAAAAAAGGTGCTTTTAAGGGAGCTCGCATTAGCAAACCACCTTTTTCACCGCCTCTATAAAAAAATCCAATTCATCAATGAGATGTTGATTTTTATGCACAAAAACATTCAACAAATCATCGATGTTAAGGGTGACGGTAACTATGATTTTTGAGTTGCTTCTGCTTTGCTTAGTAAAAGAGAGGAAGATCATTCATTTATTCGCTAACATCTTATCAAAGAGTTGAAGGTCCATACAAAATCATACACACGACTATATGGGGAAAAGGAAAATTTAGATGCAATTCATAAATCTCTCGTTCCTTGTATTAGTGGACCGGTACCAAAGTAAAAATGGACGCACTTTCCCAAAATGGGGTATCTTATATAAAATGTGTTTGAAAGAGTGTATATTGATCTAACAATATACTGTTTCTAGGAAACTTTTTTTTCAACTACGCACTGCTCCACCTCAAAATTTAAATGATCGTAATATATATATATATATATATATATATGATGAATTTCAAAAACACGACACTTTGTTCAAGTTTATTTGAAGACGAGATGCCCTATACCACTGACATCATGGAGTGGACAACTCATTCAATAAGGGAAGCTGAAACTTGGTATGATCATTTTTTGGATAGGATGCAAGAACTCACCAAGTTGAAGAAGATTGAAAGAGAAACAAATAAACAAAAGTCAAAGGCGCAACCACCCATGACCACACATGTTTCGATTCATTTTTTTATTTAACAATGTATTTATGTGGTTAGATATATTTTGTATGTAATCTTGTCTTAATATTAATGATGTCAAATATAAATATTTTCAAACATTTCAATATATGTTTAAGTTTTCAGAATATTTCTCCATTTCCATTCTAAAATAGATTATGTTTCTAACTTTTTTTGAAATTGATATTGTGTTGGGTGGTTCCAAAAATGCATTTCCGTAAGATCAGGATATGGTGGTTCTGGATATACATTTCCAAAATCTCCCCTGGTACATGATTGAATTTTTAAGGTTCATATTGACCTAGAACTTATATAGATATGAGTCTCTCATATCATATTTTTTACAAAATTACACTACACCAGATGAACATAATTTTGCATGTCGTATATGTCTAATTTAACGACGCAGAGCCCTTTGCATTTAAGTTCACTGAGTACACCCCTTTTGTAGATTTAAAATTCATATTGGAGAATCTCCTACAAACTCAAATAATCGAAGAATTGTGAAACTCGATATAGTTCACTCTCGATTGACAACAAAGAGAATATTCAATTCAAGAATTTTGAGATGAAGGCAGATGCATATTTAAGGATTATGTGAAATACATTTAACGTTACGAAATAAAATGTCTGATCGAGTTGGATGCGACGATTGCGAGATCGATTAAATATATTATGAAGATGGTGAAACATCCATCTTGATATCAAAATGTACATTTATGTTAAGGATTATCTATATAATATTTTTTTTATGTTATTATTTATTTCCATTTTTGCATTTGTTTCTGGTTTAATAAGTTTCGGAAATACACTTCTGTGAGAAATACAAAGATGTATTTCTGAATTAAATTCACTCAATTGACTCAAAAACAGATAAATTGTGTATGTTTGGAGTGTGGCCAAAAATGTATTTTTGAATTATAAGAATAATTTTAATTTTTCATTAGCATACGAAAACAATTCTTAAGATGCATTAAGCAATTCCATAAATATAAGGATATGAAGATAGATTTTTACATAAAACACGTAAAGTTCCAATGGGTTTAGATATTGGGCTTTAAATAAAGCCCATTCATAAATTAATGGGATGCCCAGTCCAACCATCCATTAGCGACGAAATGGCGAAGAAAGTAGCCACAGCGTTTTGTAATTCTCTATGGCTACCTTCACCGTTGCAACACTATCACCGTCGTCTTCTCGTTTATTCGCTCCGGTTCGTTACAATCTTCATCCGAGCCAACTCAGGCCGAACCTCCTGTACAAGAATTGGCACCTTCCGAGGCTGCCGCCTCTAAAATGTTCCTCTTCATCTTCGGAACCGGAAACCTCCGCAACTGATTGGACCTACAAGCTGATTTCAGGACTTGCCGGAATTGGATTCCTCGAAACCTCCTATCTTGCTTACCTTAAGCTCACTGATTCCGATGTCTTTTGCCCCGTCGGCGGTGACACCTGCTCCAATATACTCAATAGTGATTACGCCGTCGTTTTTGGTATCGTTTCTTTGCATAACTAACTAATTTGTTAGCAACTTCTATCATATGCATTTTGATTGGACGCAAACAACTATGCCTAAGCTTTATGCTTAAGTTTTTACTTAATATATGAACTGCATACATGGTGTTTGAAATATTGTGTGAATGATAGTGATTTTGCATTTTCCAGGTGTACCTCTTCCTTTGATTGGAATGGTTGCGTATAGTTTTGTAGCTGCTCTTAGTCTTCAGTTAGCTACAAAGGAGAATTTACCTTTTGGGATTAACAAATCCAGTGCTCAATTGGTGTTGCTTGGAAGCACAACCTCAATGGCAACTGCTAGTGCTTATTTTTTGTACATTCTAACCACAGCGTTCTCTGGATCATCTTGCTCATATTGTCTGCTTTCGGTCCTCTTGTCATTTTCCTTATTTTTCATCACACTCAAGGTTTGCTATGTTAAGCCTTTATTATCTTTCTTTTTTTGGATTTCTTGTTTGTGTTGCTGCCTTATTGATACCCTTTTTGAAATTTCTGTTATAGGACATTGGGTTGCAAGAGAAGTTTAAACAACTCGGTTTGCAGTTGTTTATTGCTAGCTTAGTGATTCTCACGCTGAACACCTCCTATAGCAGTGCAAAATCTGATGCCTCAAGGTGAATATTATTGTATAGCACCTCGATAATGTTCAACCGCTGCAATTTGTTGGCTGTTTTGTTTTATCTGAGATGTAGTACAATTGTGTTGCCACAGTTCTATTGATGCTATTTCACAAGGTTGAACAAATTTTAGGTGAAAAAATAGTCTCTAATTGTCATTTTGAACTGTCTTTTGATGCCTATTTTGGGTTTGGGATAGTTTGTCCATTCAACTTATACATCCACTGAGTGCTTCTTGTCAATGTTTCCTTTATGCAGTATATATTCTGTTTTTCTTGTCTGCTTTCAGTTTCATTCATGTTGACATTAGTAGAATGTATTTAATCTGGTGTGGAGCATTTTGCACAACCTTCATTTATATTTTATGCTTTAATACAAATTTGGGTTTTGGGCATATACATAGTAAATGAAAGTAGCAGCCCTCAAGTAGTTGTTATACTGTAATTAATTTGTATTAGTGTTGTCAAGTAGCAGCAATGGCTGATTGCAGTGGCAGATTTTTTGCCATCCTCTCTAACCAAATTTGTGAAAGATAGCAGCTCCATGGTGTTTTATAGCCAAAACGACAGCTTAAAATGGCGGATTTTTGGCTTTTTTGTCTTTTAGAATGTTGACTTGGTAGTTACCCTTAGAATTTCCATCCTTGCCATTTAGTTTCTCATACTCCAGTGGAGATGGAAACGAGGTGAATTGTGCTTGTGAGATACAATTTGAAAGTCACTAATTGTTTGTTGTCTACTTTAACAGCGGAGCTAAAATTGAGCTGCCGTATTTTGCAACCGAGATTACAGCCCCATCAAGCCCCTTTGCACTATCTCTATCAAAGTATTTGCACTCCATAGGAGCTAAAATGTATGGAGCGTTCTGGTGTTCACACTGTCTGGAACAAAAAGAGGTACATGATTACTTATAATTCCTTTTGAAATTCCCAGCCATACTAAATTGAACAACGAACATTAATGTCAATGTCTTTCATTTGTTTTTGATGAAATTGCCATAATTTCAGTGAGATGTAAATGATTTGTGTAAAATCAAATTACTTTTCAGAATCCAACTTTGGCAGTTTTACTTTTAATAAAGGAATATCATAGCATATCCTTTGTTTTATTTATTTTCAACCAATTTTTCTATTTTTGATAATGCCTAAAGCGAACACAGTTTACGACCCTTGCTTGCCACTCTTGTCTAACATTCCTTCTAGCACAATTATTCACTTTAACTTCTTGATACAGATGTTTGGACGTGAGGCAGCCAAGCAATTGGATTATGTAGAATGTTTTCCCGACGGATATCGAACAGGAACTAAAATGATTGATACATGCATAGATGCCAAGATAGAAGGTTTCCCTACATGGATTATCAATGGCAAGGTAAAAGAATGCCTTATGCTGTAATTATAATCTATAACCGCGAACCTCTCTGCCATGCTCAAATTTGTTTTGATTTCGTTACATCATGAATTTTCCACAGGTTCTGAGTGGTGAAGTAGAATTATCAGAGCTGGCACAAATGTCTGGTTTTAGTGAATCTGATCAACCTAGTTAATACTTTTGACTGAAAGCAACAAAGATTGCTTTGTAGAAGCATGTAGACGAGTTGTTTGTTCTTTTTATACATACACATGCACACATGCACGTATATATAAAATTATTTTTTCAATATATACTTAAATGTATAACATGCCTCTTGATACATATATTGGGACACATGTATACTAATTGAATTAGAGTATTAGGATAACACTATGAAGCCCGAACTCGGATACAAACATGAGAACCCCGCTAATGTAAAAAATATAAAACACGGACATGGCTATATATATTTTATATATTAATATAATAATTCAATTTATGAGTACAATTTATAAAGAGTTTAAAATGAAAAGCAAAATTTATATTAATTTAATTTTTTTTTACACAAATGTTTAGTTTAAACTTATTACTTTCAATCAACAAAAAAAAGGCATAAATTTACCAAAATAAAATTATACAAATCATATCATAGTCACTCTATATTGAGAAAAATAACTTTTAAGCCTGACTCATCTAATGACAAGTCAGTAACTTTAAAAAATTTCACTGTCATCTATTGATTCAAACTCATCTCAAGCGACATTCCACATTTAAGTTTCTTCTTCATGATATTGGTGAGTGCTCCTTGATAAAAGTCAAAGATTACTATGCACATATATTAAAGTTTTCGTTCAATATGGTGTCATCTTGTTTTTTTTTTCAAAGAATGGATAGATGAATATGTGCTCCAATTTCTTTCACAATCTAGGTTGTGCGAGTAACTTTAAGCGCAATTTTTAAATTAAAAAAAATTGAAAATTATTGAGTTGGATTTTTTTTAAAAGAATTCTGAAATTTTGAGTTCTACAATGCCATTTATTTGAAATAAGGTGTCGTATTCGTATCCGCCGCAATTTAATTTTTTCTTCCGTTGGACACTTCAAAAACGTGTCAAATACATGTTGTACGTGTATCGGTGTCAAACACGTGTCTGATACGGCGACACGCCGTGTGAATGGCGTGTTGGAGCTTCATAGGTATAACATGATTCAACGCTAGACATATTTGAAATTTTTACCTAAATAACCCACTTTTAAAAAAAACGCAAAATACTCCATTTTTCAAGTTATTTCTTAAAGTACTCCACTTTAGCGGTGTGATATAGAGGTGACGTTATGTCAATTGGCGACGGTCTATTGGGCTTGAGTGGTGTCGCCAATTGGATTGGAGACACTATATGGTGTTGTTATTCAACTGGCGACAAGGCGTTAAACATACAAGGGAGGCGCCAATTGAGCTGGAGACAGAGTGTATTGTGTAAATTTTTTAACAAAAATAAATAACATTAATCATTAATTAAAAATAATATTACATAAATTAATGTTGGGGACCAAGTTGGTCATACGGGCCACCAGTTCCACATCCCCTAGGCACTCTCACTCGTTGCACTCGTCCCCCTCGTTGTTAATTCACTCCAGGTGTTTGAAGAGTTGAAGTCTCAGGAACATCTCCAACTGATTCCCTAAGAATTTCTTGCATTTCAGAGTAGTTCGAATGCGATGAAAGGGTCATTGGTGTGCGGCTTGGACGATTGAAAGGTGTTGGATAACGTTCCATTGGACAAGTTGTGAATGTTGGATATGCTCTAACTCAACCATCATTTCAATACTACCTTAACGAAATTAGGAAGTTAAATGCAGATGCATGAAGGTGGTTGGATAACACTCCATTGGACAAGTGGACAAGGGTTTTTGATGGTGGATGTCGTTGGGGCCACATGACGAGAAACCTTGTGGAATCCATGAACGACGTCTCCAAAGGAATTAGAAACCTTCGAATCACCGCTTTGGTGAGATCAACCTATTACGGGTTGACATCACTTTTTGCAACAAGAGGCGAAAGATGGAGTGCAGTGTTAATATCGGGTCAATTATTCAGTGAATGCATAATGAAAGTGATGAAAGAGGAAACTATCAAAACCAACACACATGCAGTTACAGCCTTTGACCATCATAGGAAAACTTTCAGTGTACAGGAAGCAATGGACCGCAATGAAGATATGCCAAATTTATCTTATGCTATCAGACTAAACAAATGTTGGTGTGACTGTGGCAAGTACCAGGCCTTCTGTTTACCTTGCTCACGTGTCATTGTGACATGCACACATGCTCGTCAGGATGCTTATAGCCATCTATCTGATGTTTACAAGGCCATTAATGTTATAAATGTCTACAACAAAGGCTCCAAAATGCTACCAATGAAGGAATATTGGTCTCCATACCAAGGGGTCATAGTTTGGCACAACGATGAGATGTGAAGAAAGAAAAAAGGAAGCCCAAACAGCATGCGTATAAGATCAGAAATGGATATGACTGATAAAATGATAAGATTATGCAGTATATGTCGTCAACCCGAACACAATCGAAAAATTATCCCAATGTCGGAGCAACATCTTCATCGTAATTTAGTTTATATTTTCAATTGTTGTAACCTTATATTTTAACATATTAATGAGTCTTTGTTACAACAATGTTAACAACTAAGAACACATACAACACATACAACATACAACACATATAACACATACAACAAATAGCGAAACAAAAACATAAAACATTTATATCTGATTACAACAATCAAACTAATGTCATTTGGTCCAAACATCACTTCTCTCGCATCCTTGTTAGTCTTAACGCGAACTCACCCACGCAGGCGATCAAGTCTCTCGATACTTCGAATATTTTCCCCTTCACGAATGTCTCCTTCTAACCACAGATTCAACTCCCTCCTAAGTTGGTTAAAACTTTGAATGTTCTAAAACAACATGTCTATCGGGGGCTTTTCTCCCGAATATATGACTTTTTCGTAGGGTTGACGACATATACAAAGATATGAGATGAGTTGTGGAAATAAACGATTAAAACACCTCTATTTATAGAAAAATATTTCACTTTCAAAGTTGTCTCCAATTGAATTGGCGACACCCTTGTAACTTTTACACTGTGTCGCCAATTGGATTGGCAACACCGTGTGTTGTCTCTAATCCTATTGGCGACATCACATAGCCTTTGTGAAGGGTCGCCAGTTCATTTGGCGCTTGCATTCAATCAGTATCCTAAAGTGGGGTACTTTAGGAAGTAAATTGAAAAGTGGAGTATTTTGGTTTTTTTTAAAGGTGAGTTATTTAAGTAAAAATTTTGACATATTTTTGTTGAATTGTTGAACATATATTTTTTTTAAAGTATGTGTCATAAAACGGGTGTGGATCCACTCCCGCAGTGTCAATCTCACACATTCACTTTTTTAATTAATGATTTAATTATTACACTTCACAAAAATCCATTGACTCATATTTCACTGAACAATTATTTCATGGGAGAAGATCTCTTCCCTTCATAAAAATTGATATTTTTATATATAGTGTTTATTAAATTACAGTTTTTGTCATCTATTTTGCCTTGTCCACTAAATTAGTCTCCTGATTTTATCTTTAAATTGTTTTGATCTAATCCTCAATTTTTGTTTAAAAAACGCAAGTGTAACTTTTTACTACGAGACACATTTTTGATGATGTAGCGTGGGACTTATAGATTTTTTATTTGCAAGGTTATTTTTTGACTAAATTAAAATAAACTATTATATTTATTGATACCTACTTTAATATCTTAACTAAACATCATAAATGAAAAATAACACAACAAAAATACCTACTTTGTTATTGGAAAGGTGCGTCCGACTTAAAGTGTTTTCTAATTGTGCATTTTTAATTGTTCTAATTTCTTCAATTGTCTTCTTAATTCCCTAAATTCATCCATTCTCGTTCTTCCTTGTCTTCTCTACATTTATGTACTTCCTTATTCTCCATAATTCATTTGTGTAATTTAGTCTTGTGATGACGTACGAATTAGTGACCATATCAAGTAATTTCTCTTATTATAGGAGGAAAAGAATGCAATGTTATTGGCATTGTAGATTAGATTCATCATTTGTGTTAGTGCGGACATAAGTCTAAGTCAAAGGTTCTATAGATGTGGGTTGTGTAATATATTTCTTAACCCCTGATTTTTTTTTAGGTATTTCATCTTCTAAATCTCCTAATTTTTGGGTAATTTCAAATTAAAAAAAAAATAATTTTGTGTATGTTATTAAAAAAAAAAGGATGGGACTTGGCGTTTCCGTGTGGACTACCAAGTTTTTAATGCGGTGACAATTAAAGACAGGTTCCCTATACCTGCTATTGATGAATTGTTGGACGAACTAGGGTCGGCAAATTTTTTTACCAAGATAGTACGCTCCAGCTATTATAACGCCCTTCTAAGCCCTGCAGAATATACATAAATAATTAGACTCAATTATCATGCATCTCACAAAAGGGTGTCACATATATTTTTAAATCATCACACATACACCTGTCATGCTCGTTAACACTTAAAATAAATTCATGTTTTTCATACACTTTTACATTAGCATGTAGCATCAAATTTACTTCAATCATAATAGACATAATGAAAGTCTCATGCTCATCTCATTCATAATCAATACTTAGGCATAAAAGCCAATACTCCACATAATTCAAATAAACATAAAAACATAAAGTAGAGTACATAATGTATCTCTCAAACATAAACCGAAATATCCTCAGTTTTGCATAACCAGAACACGACTCGACACAACATAAATAAAGAAACTAAATCAGTTACTCCAACGGCTACCTCGCGCTACAAGCAACTCTACTCCTCGACACCTAAGCGATGTCGTATAAAACATCATTCCAATAGAAGGGTGAGAATTCATATAATTATCGAAATCATAAGGTATTATACAATAAATAGCATGCAAACATAACATAATTATTCTCACACTTCAAAGGCTTCATCAACACATTATCACTCAAGTAGCCATACTATTCACAAATGTATACTCATAATTCACAATTTCACCAATTTAACAATTCACATAATCTCATATTGTAACCAAAGACACCATGTAACTCGATGCAAGACTCAAATGCAACTCATGCATGTGGTACCAATC